AAGCCACCAAATGTATCGACATGAAGACAGTGCGGCAAGTGGTCGTGAAACAATTACGTATTCGGTACGTATGCGATAGACATCTGCTCGATGCTATTCTGGTGCCATCATGCCATGCACTGCGCCGTAACAGAGCTAAATGGGTATGTCTTCTCCCCCGCAAAACAAGGAAGAGTACGAACAGATCGTTATGTCCTTTCTCCAAGAACTTACAGGAATTGTCTCAAAGGCGGAATTCCAAGTTTGCTGGGGGGCTATCGATTTCGGCGGCGGGTCCGCTTTTTGTGGGCGTTTGCGTTGGCCTAACAAACAGAACAAAAACATGCGTGCACCCAACCCCGAGCGATTCCTGAGAGTTACTGGTATCGTTGGGACGAGCACCTATTCAGGTGGAGGATCATGGAACCCTTCGCGTTTGCGCGCCAAGACCTCCGACGGAAATTGTTCCAATACGGGTGTTTCTTCCTGAACACCTCCTACCGGAGAACCAGTCGATTCCCGCAGAGGAATTGAAACGGCTGCGGCCAGGCTACGACCTAGCCTTGGAATACGTTCTGGCAGCAGGTGTGCTGAACATCGTGCGGTCCACAACACGCACGCCCTCACCCACACGTCTTGTCTCTATTCTTCTCTCCTATTATTGTGTCTTTGCCTCTCACCCGCAGAGTGACCCACGAGTGGCGAATGTCGACGACCTTCTGGGACCACATGATACTCTTGTCGCCGGTGTAGTAGTTGACGACCGCGTCTCTGCCACCCTCGATCACGAGCGGATTACCCTCCACACCGGCCTTCATGGTCACGAGCGGCTCGCGGTAGATCCCGTCCCCCAATGATATGGTGTCGCCTGCACCGGCCACCTCTAGCGCTGCGGTGAGCGTCATGGGATCGCCATCAGGAGACACCTCGTAGGTGGCCGCGCTAGCAGCGGTGAGGGCGAGGGCTGCCGTGGCAAGGCGCGCGGCGGTGGCCGCGGCGGCGCCGGTGACGGTGGAGTTTTTACTGACCGGTTTCGCTGTCTCCTGGTATGGCTGCTGTTGCTGACGTCGAAGGTTAGGCGTAACCGCCATGTTGCCGTGGCCGACGTTGGTTGGTTGCGTCGTCGTCTCGGCGAGTAGGACCTTGTTTTTCAGTTTTGGGTGTGGGGTCAAGGGCGAATGATGAAGTTGGCAGTGGTCGGGGGGTCGAATGAGTCGTGCTCTCAACGTAGTAGGCAGTGTTTCCTCCCGCATTGTCATCACCAGCTAACCTTTCCGCTAGCCGGTTACCGGGTACTCATGGAGGCAAAGAGTGGGCCAGGTGAAGGCGAAGGGGACAAACAAACCGTTGTTCATTGCATCATTCGAAGGTGCTATGATGGCGTTTTTTTTATGCAGGGAAGCGTGTAACGTACAGTAGTACTGGCCCCCCGAGCGAGAAAAGAGTTGAAGTCGACCACTCTGTCGAAGTTTTGTATTCAAGCAGAGAGTCTAACGTGCCCGAGAGAGCTGCGCAAACACAAGGAGCTTGGTGATGCACAAGAGGCTTCTCGTGGTTGGCCGGGGTCACGAGACGCCGCTTGAGGGTCTTTTGTTTCATTTCTTGTGCGGTGTCACTTAGAACCTGATCTATGCTGAGAACCCGGGGTGCTATCTCATGAGGGGTCGCCTCGGGCATGGCCAGCGGGCCGATGGGAGAAGAGAGACGTCAGGCGTACCATATCGTGGGCACGTCACTGAGTGGTACGTATATATGTGCGCAACTATGAACGTATGTCGATGACAACGTGCGGGAGAGGCCAAAATCCGCATTTGCACGCCTGTGCGTCTGAGGAGAGAGAATCACGGTCGCTAGGTCGAAAAATCTTGATCGGTGAGCGGGGCACCCGTCGCGTGCACGGTCTTCTCCGCGGACCGGAGGTGACCGCGGAATCGACAGTGCAATTATCACCGACCGAGTTTCGCCGAAACGAGGTAATCGACTACACTTGCCCGACGCGATCGCGAACCGGGATGGCGCCACCCAACAGCTGCAGCCGGTGATCGACGGCATCAATACTCACCAGGGCGTGGATTCACCTGGGCCGAAGCAGGGCGCTTCTGGTGCGCACGCCGATATGGAGGGCGGCGAGGTGGGCGAAACGGAGATGGTAGATACGTGTAGACGACGGCGCTGCCGAACGCGCAGATTGCCAACATCCAGCAGGTCGCCTTGAATTGGAGGAGATATCAAGGCCTGTCGCAAGCCCGACATCATCCAGCCAACCGCGGCTCATCACCACGTCGAAGACGAACATGCAGGCCGTTGTGCGAGATGCGGCTCGCACTTCAACCTCTCAGTCTGCGAAATGATTATGAGCAACGTGTCCGGTTTCGAACTGTATATGTCCACAGCGAACGGTGATGACACTGCAGGAACCTCGTTACCGGGATACCTTCTGATCGAGACACTACTCTAATGACCTTCCTGTCGAAGGGCGTTACGTGGAATTTCTGGTGTAATAGACGATTGATTGTATTCACAAACCATGGGCACTGTAAATAAGCGGCCTAGGACGGCAAGATCAACACCTCGTTTCTCTCGCCCGCGACGTGGTAGTACGCGACATATCTACTGGGGATCGTGGTGTCTTTCGACCCTCGTTTTTTAATGCACTAATCAAGCGATGGCGGAAGTAGAAGACGAACAAGTGGGCTGAAAACTCGTGGTATGATGTTCGTGAGAATCTTTCGGGTCTGTGTTTTTCCGTACAAGAATGATATCCAAGACCGTTGCAGCAGAGTCCTACATAGTCTGCATGTGGACGTCTTGACTGAGGTTCGCAAGAGAAGTGGACCCGTTCGGATTGATTGGGGCGAGGATATTTTGTAGCCACTCCCTCAGCGTTCCGAAACAAGGCATATCATACCTAGAAGCAAGAGAGAGTTGAACGGTTTCTTCATAATTAAGTCTAGGTCGCCATGATAAGAATATCTGACCTGTCGATAGAGAAAAGTTGTTATATTATCGTATTTTTCTCTGTATGTATGTGTATACCGTATATGACACAAGATAACACACCCCCTGGACCGATTTTCAGAGCTCGATTACTTCACGACGAAGATGATGCATGGACGAAAGGATACATTTTCAGAGAGCTGTCGACCAGACGGCTTCAACGCCGCCGTTTTCGGCCCTGCGACTGTTGCTGCTGTTGGAAAATCGAGCTTTGAAAATCGGTCCAGGGGGTGTGTTATCTTGTGTCATATACGGTATATGTATGTAACATCATTAATACAATACAAGTGATGATGAGCATGGATATTTCTGGATTATTTGAAGAAATAACAAGAAAAGGGTTGTCCTGCTGGTATAGACTATGTTGTTTGTTACGGCTTGGCTGCTATATACTGCTAAAAAAATGTTCTCCGAGCAGCACAGCTTGAGCCTGCCATTATAGATACACAGTCTACAAGCAGCAGCAACCAGTCTTGATAATAGCTAATTAGAACACATGTAATCATCTCACAGAAAGACTACCCGTCCGCGCCCGTTCGAGTGTTTTAGAAAGTAAACATGGCCAAGACTATATATATATACCCGTTCGAGATATAACCTCAGTCGACAGGGATGTGGTGAAGTCTTTCCAGTAAGTTTTTTGTCCTCTCTAAAACGATGAAATCTTTCGAGAAATGCGAAGTGCACGGGCTGACGTCACATAATATACGCTCATCATTTCAAGGAGGAGACAGACCCCGGTCGTCGTTGTAATAATACCCGGGGAGGAAGCGGTCTTCTTTCGTGAGATTTGGCAAGGAGGAGGAAGAAGAAAGTGTGTGCCACCGACGGGCGAGCTGCGTGAATTGTTGGGTATGTATGTAGTCGAAAGAAGATAGATATATCGTAGATATCCCGTTGGGCACTGTGCTTACAACTGGTCTCTTAGCGGGTGCATTTTGTTGGAAGAGTCATCATCGGCTGCTGCTGCATTATACTTACTTTTGTTTTTTTCTGTTTTTTTCGTCCCATCTCTGGCGCCGCCTGCTTTCTCTCCTCTTCGATGCACACTACTACACGTTCGCCGCGTATGTGCAGCACTTACACTTCTCAGCCTACAATTAGCTAGACGTACCGTGCGGGGTCACACAGGAGGGGGTACCCACAACGCCGGGTTTTTTTCATCTCTATTCTTCTTTTGTCCCCACCTACTACCTCCTGCGGTATGTAGTACATCAAACCACAGGTTGGTTCATCTTCATCATCATCGCAGCGAGGACCTGGAGTACATCGACATGGCATTTAATAATATGTAGTACATACATACATGTATAATACGTTTAAACTTTTACACCTACTCCTCCGAGTACTATCTATCTGTTCGGCACTCGGCACCATCGACGTCCGTCCGTGTAGTGCGAAAGCTTGCACCCCGAGGAGCGGGATGTATGTCTAAACGCTGAAACAACGTTCCCCGGTGTCAGATAAATAAGTATATAAGTACAGGGTAATCTGACATCCGGTGTCAGTCCTGGAAAATAGACAAAAATAGCGGATGAAGCATTGGATGAAGATATTTATAATAATGTTTAGATGCGGACCGCGATTCATTCTGCAGTGAGTGCTGCATGCAGTGGGTGGATGGTGTGCCGTGACGCACACGTATGCATAATATGTGTGGTCGATTTTTTTTTTCTTCCGCCGCACAACGTCAATAAAAAAGCGAACTTTTGTCGTCACCCTGTGTCGTTCTGTGACAAAACGGCGTGGTACCCGTTGAGAAGCTCAGTTAGTTATCGCAGGCGGAAAGTAAGTGCGAACATTTCACGACAATGAATGATTGTTGGAATGCAATCCTATCAACGTATATCTATCTGTGAAATGGGTCGATTTTTTATTGCCTGATGATGACAAAATGCTGCCGACTTCTTCCCGTTGGCCTCGTCGGTCCAGCGTCCATGCCTTTTCCTTCAGCCTTTCCACAGACCGACAGGCCCGTTCGTCGACCCGTGTACATAATGTATATCTCGAACGGGCACATACACAGCAATGTGTGTATAGTCTGTGTTTGTATTTGTTTTTCCTACCACACGTGTTGCAGCAAAAACTCTTTGTGCATGGATGGGATCACGATTATATTTTTCTGGAGGCGCTCGTGGTCTGGACTGACTGCTGCTGCTGTGTTGTTGCGTCTCGCCACCTGATATATAGATAGTTGTTTGTCTTTTAAAGAGTACCTGCATCAGTTTTTATTTCCAGACAACTTCGTTCGTTCCTTCTGTTCTTTTTTGATGAAATACAGAGAGAGAGAGGCGGACCACTGCTACAGATCAACCGTTTCTTTGCGTGTGCTGACAAAAAATAGTATGTACCCTCATTCAGGGAATCGCTGCCGCGGCGTGGCTGTGCGTGGCTGTGCTTCCTGAGAATCGCTGCCGCGGCGCGGCTGTGCGTCACTGTGCAACTTTGTCTTGTTATGCAGCCCCCCCCCTGCGTCTGGACAGACGTCGTCGTTGGAATTACAAAGAAATCCCCGTCCGGCGTAACCCTTCTTGTTCATGATTGAAAACGATGATCAGCATCTCTGCGACGGAACGTATTCCTTGCCGAAAACGTGTA